GAGAGCAATAATTAGCAATAATTCTAGGGCCAGTATTTTGGGGTATCTCTAAATTGATGACCTGTGGGGGCTTTTAAAGCGTCTTTTTGGGGTACTGCAGTTTTTCGCCGTTTCACGGTCGCACACAATTTGTAAACTGGGCATGTTGGGTATCGTTTTACTCGTTGTAACCTCATCTTTTATATTTCATTAAACAAATTGGTAATTTGTTGTGTTTTGGGGCATTTAATTAAATTTGTCACTAAATTTTGGGGTTTAGTAAGGAGTTGCGCTAATATTGCGCAACATAAAAATTTTCAACTACCACCATTTTATTCTATAGGGTCTTGGCATGCAGAAAATATATAATGTTGGGGGGTTTTACGTCATTTTCAGGCCTAAAATGTGGAATATAACATGGGTGCAAAAAATGAAAAAAGGGCCTCAGTCATGAAGGGGTTAACAGCAACCGTTGTGAGAACAAGTGTAAAATTGTCTTCTAAATATATGCTTTTAACCAGTTGTGAACCCTAAAGTGGTTCATCAAATGACACATGGCATACCGTATGTAGTACACCCAGTCCTTCTGTCCCACTTGCCGGCAATTCCCATCTGGCACAATGAAAATGTCAATACAGCAGCTGCCGCCCCTAAATGCGGGAAACCGGCCAGGATGCGCTCCAGAAGCGAATCGTGCTGGAACACACCGTAGATGGTGTGAACCGGCCCTTACATCTGCTGCTGTCAAAAACAGACTGGCTGGCAGTGTTTATAAACGCTGTTGACACCATAGCAAGATGCAAAGTAATTGTTACTTTTCCATTTGCAATTTCATTCAGGGATAAGCTTTGATTTCCATATGTCAGGTAAACCAACCTGAACAATAAAAATAAAATAAAAAAGTTTCCATTTAGCCCCTAATTAACACTTTGTTTACCCAAATTAGATCTAATTAACTCCTTCACATACTGCAAGCCCCCTGCGCAACAAACACAAATGGCTTTAAAATGCCACTTGTAAACAAACCAGTCACTGCCCCCTCCCCAAAGAAATAGTGGTAAGATATTTTTCTTTTTTTTTTTAATTATTATTCTCTGAACTGTTTACAAATGGCTTTTTAGTTTTGTTACGTTTTCATCCATAGATTGCATTAAAAATAAAATCATTTCTGCAAGACAATATCACCAAAAAGAAAGTCTTGTTTGTACTGCAAAAATGATATATATTACGTTGTTGCTGGAAAAACAGGCGCATAGCAAAAATGTAAAAATTCCTCTGGTCCATAGGAGGTGTAAAGTGTGAGAGCAGAACCGGTTAAAACAGATGTGGGCCACCTTTTTTTTTTTTTTCTCATAAGGAACAAGGATACATGAGAAGACAATTCTAAAACAGATATACTATTTTCCATCTACCAGTCTTCCACTAGATGTCATCAGAGCACTACAATATCAACCAAG